GCACTGAACAATGGCAGTAGCCAGATCAGCATTTGTTAGTGAAAGACCATGTTGTTGGGCTCATACATAGTTTTCATCCGTGCCACCACAGCCACTTTGTTTGTGGACCTATTGAGTAAGCACTAGATTGACCAAGGAAAGAGGTTGGCCAGCATCCATAGGAGGGGTTATCTTAAGCCTTCTTTACAGTGGGACACTATTATTTTCACATTCTCTACCCATTCAAAGAAGTCCGTTCATGTACCTCTTCCAGAGCTCTTCATCACCAATTTTCCCTTTTCTTTTTCAAATCTCTGATCATCTGGTAAACTCATTTGTCACTTCCCATCAGTCAGTCTGTTTTAGGTCCATACTGCTGTCCATTTCTCCGGCATGAAATGTCAGCTAAAGGCAGAACTTTGAATAGGGTTATAGTTCTGGGATCATCCATTCTGGCTGATGCCACCATCTGGTGCAGATCCATTTGTAAACCAGCCTCTTACTTATTCCTCTTTTTTAATTTGTAGTAGGAAGCTCCCCAAGAAGCCAAAGGACTGGGCTGACGGACAGCGATTAAACCAGGTGTCATGAGAATCTAAGCTGCCTAATTATGCAGTTTACTTATCTCTCCTGGACTTGTTCAGACCTACTCAATTCCATTTTTGATGAAATGCTGCTCTGTTCACCAAATACTATGGTTCAGTACATCAGTAGTTCATGATGGACAGTTGGGTTGTGTAATCACTTGGTGTCCTGTGGTTAGGCATTTGTCTCTACCAGGGTTCTGTTGCAAGCCAGGACCTGCCTTTTAATAGAGAATTATTTGCAGAGTAGGGCATGGTCTTTTCTAAAAACTATAGGACCGTGTAGTAATTATCTTCCAGGGACTTTCTAGAGACTTTTAACAGCATCTCTGTCACAAACACTTTGAATACCCCTGGGTCTGCTGGGTCATAAAACCCAGGTGGCTGAGGAATTTGTATTGAGGCCTTGACCTGCTATCGGCCTCACTGAAAACTGACAGCCTTATGGGTAGCCCCCAACCCCCAAAAAATGGGTCAGAGTAGCATATGTAGTGTACTTGCAAATTCCAGAGGCTGACCGAGCTTTGTACTTCTTTGTAGTGGGCTCTTCAAGGCACAGCATCTTGTCCTCCACTTTAGAGGACTCTCCTAACATGCATGAAACTACTGGACTCCTGGAAACTTCATTTTTGTGACACACCCCTGAACTTTGCCAAGACTTCTCTCCCTTCTTCTACCCTACATATGCCTTACTCAGGTGGTACTACTACTTGTTACTTCTTACCAAATCCAGTTAGCATAACATCACCAATGTAATGGACCAACATGATATTCTGTGAAATAGTAAGAAGATCAAGTACTCTCCAGACTAATTATAACAGCAGTAGAATTGATAGATCCCTGGGACCAGACAATTAAAGTATTCTGTTGCTCCTGTCATGTAATGCAAATGGCAACAGCTAGAGACTATGTCAGTCAATAATCAACCATGCTCACTGCAGAGTATGTTCTCTTGAAAGGAGTTCTGAACAGTGCACCTCCTTGGCCACTATAGAGGTATGTGATCCCTTTGGACCTTCTTGAGAGGGACTCAGGCTAATGGTCCATCTCTCACTTGACCTTCATAAGCCCCTATTCTGACTGGTGGCTCACAGTGGAGTTTCAGAATTATAGGGTCTGTTCAGAGCCATTATTTAATAGCCCCCAGAATATCTAGATATTTCCCATTCCTCAATGATTGGTCTCCCTGGTAAGTATCTCTTCTAAAATGGCATGGGGAAAATTTTATAGTACAACAGGCCCCCCTTATTCGTGGAGGATACATTCCAGGACCCCCAGTGGATGCCTAAAACCACAGATAGTACTGAACCCTATAAATACTATGTTTTTTCCTATACATATATACCTATGATAAAGTTTAATTTATAAATTAAGCAAGTAAGAGGTTAACAACAACTAGTAATAAAATAGGACAAATATAAAATATAATGTAATAATAAAAGTTATCATAGACTTCAGCAACCTCAGCATACGATTTTTTTTCTTGTTAAGAACTTCCACCTTTTCACTTAAGGGAAGCAGTTTATGGCTTCTCTTTGGCATATCCGAATTGCTAGCATCACTGCTCTTCTGTTTTGGGGCCATTAAGTGAAATAAGGGTTACTTGAATACAAGCACTGCAACAATACAACAGTGGATCTGATAACTGAGATGGTTTCTAAGTGACTAACGAGTATATAAAGGGTAGTGTATAAAGTGTAGATACACTGGACAAAGGGATGATTCACATCCCGGGCAGGATGGAGTTGGGACAGAACGAGATTTCATCATGCTACTCAGAATGGTGCACAATTTAAAACTTACAAATTATTTATTTCTGGAATTTTCCATTTCATATTTTCAGACCCCAGTTGACCGCAGGTAACTGAAACCACAGAAAGCAAAACTGTGGATGAGGAAGAACCACTGTATATGTCTGTGGCCATATGACAGGGTCCTTCTTTGAAGGGATCCAGCCTCCTCCCCCTGAGGCAGGGATAACAAGTGTGTGAAGTGGGTCAAGTCTGGGAACCGGGAACAAGTCATGAATTCCAGTTATTTAGTGGCTTGCATTCATTTCTGCCCAGCAGAATTATTATGTAATTTTTAGAGATCTTGCAATCGGTTAGCCACCATTACAGATCTCTTTGAATCAAAACACTTTGATTAGCACTCTGTCCTATGGTTTATTGTGTTGATTGCTTCTACCTTGTCTCTGAGGGCTCAGTGCTACCACCTGGCCTTTATCACCCCAGGATTCCATTATTCTCAATGAGCTCAGGGAACCCAGTTCCATTGCAGCACCATCTGTTCTGTCATTTCTGGCCTAATGAAGAATGCCACCACAGAACTCTGGTGGATGATAGTGTCCCCTTACCAAGGCATTTCTTTTTTTTGTGAGGAGGACTGTCAGCCCTGAGCTAACATTCAATGCCAATCATCCCCTTTTTTCTTGAGGAAGAGTAGCCCTGAGCTAACATCCGTGCCCATCTTCCTCTACTTTATATGGGATGCCGCCACAGCATGGCTTACCAAGCGGTGCGTCAGTGCACGCTCGGGATGCGAACCTGTGAACCCCTGGCCGCGGAAGCGGAGCGCACGCACCTAACTGCTTGCGCCACGGGGCCGGCCCCCCAAGGCATTTCTTAATGTCATCCTGGGTAAGATGAGAAGATTGCACATAATACATCCATTCCAACATTTCCATTTCCCTGGTCCTTTGGACTCTTTGTTCTATGGGGGAGCTCTGGCGTTTCAGTATCATTAAAAGAGGCCACTATGTAGTCCAAGTGTTTATTTAACCAACTATTAATGCCATTTACAAGTTCACATTAAGTTCCAGATCCCAGGTAATTGCACTCATCTCAATTAAATCAGCCCAAACATGACTTATTTTTCACCCCCATTGGTCTAAACACTTTGCATCTCACTGCCCCAAGAATGTTGAGATCTTAACTCCCATGTTAGTCCTGGAGGTGATGAAAAGTGGTAGAGTTGAGTTCTGAGGAAAATTGCCCTCAATTTGAGTCATTGGAAGGTTTTTAAGTAGAGGAGTGACTTTTCCTCAGAAGGAATACTATTAAAGAAAAGGGGTTGCCTGCTGTCAGCAGGACGGACAGACAGATGTTTAAAGTTCTCAGCCTCATGTCTGGCAAGATATCCACATCCCGTATCTCAGGGTCCCACTCCTTCCCCTTCCTTAACGTAAGAGACCTGGAAGGCTTAAACTTTTAATTGGCACTATATCTTTACAGACCTTACATCAGACTCTTGGCTTTGTCTTCTGCCTTATATGCCCTGTGACTATAAGAGATGAGGAAGCCCTTGAAAACTGCCAATGAGGACTTCTGGTTGCCCATGCGTGTTTTTAATTGTATATTCATAATTTTACTTTTTTTCCCTTTGTTCTCTGGGACCATCAGAAGAATCTTGGTGATAATCACAATTTTTATATCTGCTGTTGCTGTAGCAATTAAATGTCACAGCCATTTGATCTCACAACACCTTGCCCTCCATCTGCATTTCATCTTATGCTACCACTGATGACAGTTTGAGTAATCAGGATGCTGCTACATCCCATAGATTTCCCATGTTCTATTATCATTGAGTTCCTTGAATATATGAACAGCCCACTCCCAGAATCCTATTTTGAGGGTCTATTTCTCGGGGCTCTTTCTCGTACAGTTACTGTGTCTGAGTCAGGAAACAGATGGCATACTCAAATTAGAATAATTCAAGGAAGATCTAATAAAGAGACAATTTACAAAGCTATGGTCAGGGTGTGGGGAAACTGCAAGGGATGGTACAATACTCTAGAGCTGGTAGAAGTAGAAGTGTTAACATCCCTGGGCTTGAAGTAAGGAGTGGAAGGAAAGGTTAGCAGAACCCAGAAGGAAAAAGTCTCAAGAAAGCCACCTTGAGAGAAACTGGGTTCTTTGGTGGAGAGGCACAGCCACCCAGAGGCTACTCCACAGGGCAGGAGTCAGGGGAATCACTTCTGTCCCTCAGACCTCCTACCAGGGCTCCCCAGTGGCAGGAAAGCCAGAGGGCAGGGGAGGCCTTTGATATAGGTCATACAGGTGAGCCTCCTAAAGGCAGAGAGTGAGATGTAAGATGTTGAAGAATGGATAGAGAGACACACCAATTATATGAAGAGTTTCATGAATGTGTTTGGCATCTTACATTTAAGACATGACCTAGACAAGGAAAATAAAATTTGCTGAGAGTTTTCTCAGACTAGAACTAAGGAACCAATCATCTCATGAAAGGAGAAAGCAAGAGCTTTGAGAAGCCCATTTCCCTATTCCACGCACCTCTCTGGTGCGTGGCACCACTCTGGGAAGGGTGACTTTTGTAAGCATCTTAACTATCTTATGAGTTCGCATGAGTAATTCAGAAATATTTTAGTGCTTACTGTGTGCTATTCCCAAAATAACAAATATCTGGGCTTATTTTTATTCATCAACTTTATTAAATAATTTTATTAACTGATCTACATAGACGTTATATTTAACAATTCAATATAAAAATAAATACTTTGGGATAAATAATTTAAGTGAATTTTTTAGAGCCCCTAGGGCTTACAAAAAGAATCTTAAAAGATCCATATTTATCATCCGAAGACTAATAGTTACAAAAGGTAGCAAACCATACATCACAAAATAAATATAAATTTTAAATATTTAAATAAATAGAAAGCCTGATACATTTTAAATGGGAGGCAGTTAATTATCAGCTCAGTGTTGAGAAGATGCTTTGACAAAAGGTAATCCATTTGTTCAGAAATTCTACAATGGTTGCTGTCTCATCATCATATTCACATGTGAATCTTGTTTCAGATCCCTATAAAACAAAAATTTTAATTTTTTTTAGTTCGGAGTAGTTTATATATAATTATTGTCAGTCGAAGTCTTACAGGCTTATGGCCTTTATTTTCAAGTGTGTTAAACATATTAATCATTCACATTTTCTTGAAATGATCAAAATGATGTGCTAAAATCATATGATATCAAGTGATAGTAACATACTGAGATTTTCCTCATTTGTTAATTCTGTCAATCTCGGTGAACACAGATTTTTTTCCCTGAATTGTGTACAAGTAAACATTTTAAGTAAAAACTTCTAGACAAATATTTCATTAAATGCTGCATGCAAAATAAAGTTGTTTGACCTCTTTTCCTCTGTGTATATATCTGTCTCTATATCTATCTGTAGGTTACATGTGTTCAGTGATATGCACATTATACTTTCTTCTTTTCGAAACCTTGATTAAGATTATTCTACTTATTATTCTACTTGAGTGAATCTTCACGTATTTTCTCCAAAGCAAGATAGAACCAGCCCTCAGTAAGTTAGAACAGGCTTTTGTTTGGGGGAAGTTTGTGTGAAGAACATTTTCATAAATACTCATACCCACTCCCACCCCAACTCAGTATCAATGCAGGTGAGTTTCCCAACTTTTAAAAGTCTAAACATTAGCAATTTTGTTCTGTGGCCTGACTGTTTAGAAATTAATCTTCTGTGCTGAAAGAGACTGTTTCAACTCTGCCTCTAACTGACAAGCTAAGAAGAAAATATTTTGTACTTGGGCAGATGGGATGAGAAGAGAGAGGTATGAATCTCTTTCACATCATCTGAGTCCTTTGTATATTTCATGCTTCCTGTGCATGTAAAAATACTTAAGGTCCTGAAAGTATTACCTCTAAATAAGGAGTTAATTATCTAGTCCATTAGCCATTTTAGTGGTTGCCATTTTTTAAGACAAATCTCTTAGTCCTTCCACCAAGTGATAGGGAAACCCCATTTAAAAAGCTTTTCAGGTAATTGGTATTGGCTATTCTGGTAAACGATCTGAAGGAATTTAAAAATACATAATGAACTCTGTCTGCTTTCTGTAAAATTCAATTCAGTGCTTCTCCCACTCCCAGTTTTGTGTTAGTGTGAGGGGTGACAGAATGCAGGGGTGGAGGCTTGCCCCTGAGTGGATGGTGGGTGGAAACCCTCTAGCTTACACTTCCTAGCTCCACAACATATCATCTAACATAAAAATAATTTGTGTTCACAGTGGACTTAAAATACACAAGTATTTCACAAATACCAAAAATGTTATACCACTTAAAAATGCCCTTACATTTATTTTATTTCCAAGAGAGCAAATAAAGGCCTTACCTTTAGTTCCAGAACTGTTGCATTGATATTGCTCATTAATTCCTTGATATCTTTCAAGTGAAAGTTTTTTAGCACATCCTCCAGAGGTTTGAGTTCTTCTTCTAGACACTGAAGATGTTTCAATTCTGTGGCCTTGAATAATAATAATTATTATTACCAGGTGAGTTTGCCCTGACTAAAGGTCAGAATCAGAAATTAATCTCCAATTTATTAAGAGTGGCAGTATATAGTTTTTACTATTCTCCCTGTTCTCAGCGTTACGGTAAAGGTGGACCAATACAGTTTACAAATCAGTTATAGACTGAGTTCTTTTCCAATCTGCATAAAATCATTAGAACCAGGGTAGTCGGAATGTGGAAGTATAGGTTCACATTCTATGCTTCTAATAGCTAATAATCTGAGAGTTGAGAATCACAGAATGTTAGGGAAAGAAGGAGCTCTTGGATGCCATCTATCACGGTCCCAACATTTGATCCATTAGGCAATTTTAACTATATAGTAATGACTCTTAATATAGCAAGTCACATATAACTGTGTCTAAATTTTTTATTTTTCTATAGTAAGTACATTAAGATGCATTTTAGAAAATTATTTGTCCCAACCAAATAAAAGTTTACAATATTTGAAGAATTTTTGGATGGTCCTCCTGCTTTCAACATACACATACATACTCTCATATATATAATGATAATAGTTCATACTTCTATGGTACATTATAACTTCAAAGTATTTTTTCCTAAATAAGCCCGTTTAAATGTCACAGCCACATTTTGAGATACACAGTGCAGTGTTATTATCTCCATTTTACAAATAAGGAAACTAAATCTCAGAATTTGTGTCTTTCCCTAGGCCACATGACTAGGTAGAGCTAGAATTAAATTTCAATTCTTTTTCTTCATAGCATTAACATAGCATCCTTTGAATTAAATGTTTTTATAGCTTTCTAAAATCTTTTGCAAACAGAATGCTGATAAAATGAACAAATGAATGGAGTTTATCACATTACTTTTGGTTTCAAATAGATTTTGAGTTGTCATTTAGAAACTGTGAGATTTCAAAGAATTCTACCACCTTCTAAATTATACACATAATCTCATGTTATCTTTCTAACAATCTTTAGAGGGAGAGGTAGGACTATACCACGCATACCTTCTGACATTTCTAACTACTGCCCTTTCAACTTGCTACTAGAAGTTCTGCAAGTTCAGGGGTTAAGTTTTTGGCATGAGCAATTTGAAGCTATTTCCCTCAGAAGAGTCTATTGTTATGTTGCTGGAGGTAAGAGTTGTGTGTCTGATAAAGCTGGAGGAGCATCTCTAAGCTATTTCCTTTTCATCTTTCAAAAGAGTAGTTTGAAGCATAATTTCCTTGAATTAATAAGAGGTGGATCAATGGGATTGCATCTATGACCCTTAAATCCCATTTTTTTCTGGGCTTGGATTCACCCTGGGACAGAGTCTTGCTGGTACCACAGTCTTGCCCCTTCTCTGCTGACCTGCGCAAATGCTAGGAAACTTTACACTCCTAGCGTCACTCTAGGAGCTTAGATGATCGAAGCTTACCTAACTATCTGAATTTCAAAATAACAAAGATTTTAATCTTGGAAAATAAGTCATATAGCATCATAAGTCTCTAGGTCTACTGACATAAAAGTTGTGTAAGTCCAAAATTTTACATTATACTCCCCATGGAGGATTTTTGTCTTTACTACTACTACTGGTAGCTGATGCTTATGTGGTGTTTACCATATGCCAGACACTGTTCTGAATACTTTACATTTACTCATTAATCCTCACAAAACTATATGAAGTATATACAATTATTATTCACTTAAGTAGATAAGAAACTTGGGCATGTGACCTATAGAGAGTAGTGACCTATAGAGAGTAGGTCACTTGCCCAAGTTCACAAAACTAAGACACAGCAGACCTGGGATTTCAGTTCAGATAATCTGGCCCCAGAGTCTATGCTATTGATTACTGCTATGCTGTCTTTCAAAGATAGACTCTTAAGAATCTTTCCTAAAACAATAAAGGATTTTTAAAAGTGGGCTCCTCTGAAATGAATTCGATCATTTGCATGGTAAAATGATATAATCAAATGTCTAGAGTTTTACATTTTTAAATAAAACAGTAAATCAATATAATCTTCTTTTAAAATAGTCCCAGAAATAAAGTAAGAATATTATTCTTGTCTTCTTTTTTTCCCACTCCCCCCCCCCGAAACACACACAAATACATATTAAAAAATATAGGCAAAACCATTTTACTGAGGCCCCATTATCAAACTTGGATTTTTTTTAAAAGATACTGAAGTTACTTATTCTTTTCCTCAGAGGAGGTGCTATTAATTCAATCAGTGTGAAAATTTTTATATTTCTTTGAATTTTATTAAAATATAAATTGAACATAGAAAATTGTACTTACCTTCTTGGGCATGTTGAATTTAAATGTGAGCATCTTGTTGGAGAGTTTGGTGTTCTTGTAATTCTGAGAAAGTATGACAGATTGTTATTAAAAAAGGAACTCCAGCTAGAAAAATTCAATTTAATAATGTTAGTTAGAAAGGGAATATACTCACATTAACTCCACTCAAAAGCAGCCGTAAGTCCAGCTGTAATTGCTCCAGCTGTTGCTGTGTTTCCCTCTTAGAGCTGGAGGTAGGTGCACTGTTTGCAAGGAGTGCAAGAGTCAGTACAATGCAAGACAAGAGTTGCATCTTGTACATTGTGGCAGGAGTTGAGGTTACTCTGAGTAGTGATTAGAGAGGCTGATAGGAAGCTCTTGAACAAGAGAAGCAATTTATACTGTTAATTCTGGAAAAATATTATGGGGGTGTCAAAATGTTTTACATATTACACATATTTTCAAAGATTCTACCTGTGTGGCAAAAAGCATTACCTTTATTTTTCCTCTTCTGATGACTCTTTGGAATTTCTTTAAACCCCCATAAACTGGCTGAATGGATGTAGGTGAAATCCCTCTTGGTTACATTAGCCCACACTTAGGTGGCAGTTCTAATTCATACAACTAACGCCTTCTGTATGAAACAGTTTTTCCTCCCTCTTTCTTTAAGGGGGTGGGGATACAAAAGTGCCTCATGAAAATTTTCTCTTTGTCATAAAACTATGCTGAACATGTGGAGCACCATGTTGTGGTGGACAAGAGCAAGAGTAAATAGTTGAAAAGAATAAATTTTTAGATTTGTTGATTAAACAGGAAGAATATTGGTTTCCTGTTTCAGGATGGTTTTACCTTTTATCTACACAATGACTGAGCTAATGCATATAACGTGATAGATTACTTCTTACACAATCAGACAGAGAAATATTAAGATTAGAATACATAAAATGCTTGCTGAGCTTGAGGTACTGTTTTATGTTGTTTTAGTTTTAACATACTTCTTGTATTTATTTACATCTCTTAATGTCTGTTGTCTTTTTTTTTAAGGGTATGTTGTTTACCAAACAAATACTCAGAAAAGGATTTATATACAAGGGTACTGATGCTAGTTTGTAATAGACTTTATATGTGCTGTGTGTAAACCAATCCATAAGTTACTAGTTTTCATCTGTAATAAATTTAGGTTTATCCTCTAAAGCACCTGGGACACTATGAGTGTAACAATAATAGTTATGAAATCAGATCAGCTCAATATTTTTTAGTTGGTAGACTGAGTAGGATATTTAGGATGTGTGTTAATTTATCCTCAGTATAATGCACTAACTGCCAGAATGATGGTTTAGGTATATGCTTCTAATTTAACCTTGGAGAATTAAGGAAATCCTTTCTCAATGAGATTGCTTCTAACTCCTCCATTTTTACTACCTTATTCATTTCTTGTCTAGTCTTTAAACAGACATTTATCTAGCACCTATAATGCCCTCAGGTATATAGAAAGAGAGAAGAAAGAACAATGTGCAGGCACACAGTCTAATTTAAGCCTTCTAATAAACCCGTTAAATGATTGTTCTGTTTTGCAGATAGAAAACTGAAGGTCAGAGAAGTTAAGTAGTTTGTTCTAGGTCATTCAGCCCTTACTGACAGTAAGGAGCAGAACAAGGATTTGAAACCAGAATATTCTAGCACCAAAGTCCACTCTCTTACCATTTGTATTCTTTCTCGAAGAACTTGATGTGTAACAGGGAAGACATGCACATAGACAATTGTACAAAGGTAAAAAGACGATTGCTGTCTCAAGAGAGGTGGATATAAAGGGTTTTGAAGAAGGAACATGACTTTAAACTGAATTTCGACAACATTGTTAAACTGTAGATATGTAAATTTAGGATTAGAAGGAGGGTTAGTAGGCAGGAAAGTTTAGGCATTCTAAGGAACGCTTAATTATACTTAAAAAGAACAGAGAAACATTGTTCAACACTATTTATGTGTAAGGCAATATCTGAAGAATATAAAACATCTCTGTAAAATTAAAAAATAAGCATTATAGTTCCTCAGGTGGAAAAAAATGAAGGAAAAGTCAGATTAGAGACAAATAATCTCTTCTTTTAGAAAAGACTAGAGACAAATGATCATAATCTTTTCTTTTTATTACTAAAAAATGCAAAATGTCTCTCTGTACCTTTCAAATCAAAACCACAATTAGCATTAGTTCTAAGGGAAAGGCTACTTAGTGATCTGTCAACTTTATTGTACTTGTTTCGCTTCTCTAAGACTTCAATGTCTCATCCCAGCATCATCAGCTCAGGCCTTTACCCTTCCAGAATGGAAAAATTCAGGCCCACACATTTTCCTGTGTGGGGGCTTTTCCAGTGAGGCTTTGATGTTCTCATAGTCTTGGTATTTATATTTCTCCGGCTATTTCCATTAGAGAATGGGTCAATATATGGCTATATTTCGGGGACCCTGTAGAAAATTGATTTCCTAGGCCCCTAGCTTATCCCTATTATTGCATAACAGGCACCATTACAAAAGTTAGCCTTATAATTTCTGTCTTGAAATGCTTGAGGAGAAAGCTACCATACGCTGTGGTATACTTTCACTTTTTAACGTGTCTGACACATCAGCTGGCTTTTCTAGCTGTAGTGGTGATCAAGTCGTAATAGACTGCTAACTACCACGTGTCACACCCCCTACTTCCCCTTTGAAAATAAAATTTTACTATTCAATAAGAAGCTATTTTAGTTGCTTAGCATTATTTGTGACTCAGCTTCTTAAACTCAAGAGTAGCCCAAGTCCTTTAAAAAGGGAAGCCCCTGTCTGTGAAGCTTCCTACCAAAGAGGTTGGTCAGTCAGTTGCATACATTGTCCATCTATCAAAGCTGACTTTCCAGGACTCTGCCTCTTGCAAAAATTTCTTCTTTCTGACCCTCTGTCACAGCTTCTCGAAACTTTAATTTGGTCTGGAGCTTGATGCCTGTATTTATGCATCTCTTGTTAGTTTCTCTAAAGGCCTCTTGACTTTTCAAGATACAATTCTCTCCCTCTGAAGTCAGGACATAGTGTTGGATAATTTCCATACCACCCAGAGAGAATTCAGCTAGGAGCTCTCTGTTTATCATGAAAATCTAAATTTCCTCAGGCATAGACTGGTGCCCAGTCTTTGTCTTTATCAAACCTGTAATTCTCCATAATGTAATACCACTTCAGTAAATCTGTCTGTATTCACAGTTAAGTCTCGTTCAAATGTGCTCATCTTCTGTGTGGTAAATTTTAACAATATTCATAACCTTTTGGGATGGAAGAATTATTTCCTTGGTACTTTTAATTTTGCAAAGTGTTTTCAAATTCATTATCTCATTGAGTCACATTTTACTGATAAGAAATTTGACGTTTGTAGAGGTTAAGTGACTTGCCCAAGATCAAAAACCCAAGGCTTCCTGGCCCCTAATGTTCTCACATATTTCCGGTGTAAAATAGTGATACCAAATTCTAGGACCTTTAGGATACACCAAGAAGGCTGAATTAGATTGTGCCTACTATTCCGTCACACTTCACTTTATCAGTGATAGCTGATGAGTCAGGCGAGGCATCATCCACCTTCAGCTAACCAACATCTTTGAACAGCTTTAGGATTTCTAAGAATTTAGAGCAGCTGAATTCACACAGTAGCTACAAAAGCTGGGTTTTACTCTTGGTTTTGAATCTCTTTCTGGGGTCTTTTAAAAGCACTAGAGCACTTGATGTTTCCTACCACTTCTCCCATATCTGAAGTAAGAAAATGATTGTATCTGCTGTGGATTTAAGCTGCACTGTACTTTTAGGAGTACAGTGTTCTAAGGCTGACATAGGGATATTGCACTAGGCAATCGTCTGCATTTGACAACCAAGAGATACCTCACTACTGAATAGGATGAGAATGGGAGTATCTTCAAAACCTTTGGGAATTTACTTTTTGTGTAAATATATGACCCCTATGACAAGTCGCACGGCTGTTACTAGGTAGAATGTGATAATCTTCTAACAGTAATAGTAATTGATTTGCAAAGCACTTCAAGTTCATAAAGCACTTTCACATCCATTTATCTCATTTCATGGCAAAATAGTTAAAGAAAGAAACAAATTTTCTGGCTGTATCTATTTCATGGAGAACTGTATTTTCTTCATACGTTAAGAGTTAAGCCTTGCAACTTACAGGTAAATATTAGCTTTCTCCTCTGCCAAGATAAATGCCTTCATTAAATCTTGTGAAAATAAAGTTATTTACATTTATTTAAGCTTATTGTCATCTAATTGCTTTTCCTGCCTAACTGTGTTTCTAAGTTCTCTGTTAACCATTTGTTCTTTCCTCTTCTACATTAGCTTTGGATGTATCATTGACAGAGTCCATTGTTTTATCATTCCTAATGTTGACAGATAAAATGAGGCATATTAAAAATTTTAAGAGTTTATTTGAACAAAAATGGATTCAAATTGGGCAGCATCCAATCTCACAGATAGAAAGGAGCTCCGAGTGATGTGGGGCCGCTGAGTCGCAAGTCGAAAAAGACTTTTCAGACACGAGCTGCCCGTTCACTCGTGGACCTTTATTCTGTGCTCAGCATGCGGACAGGCCCCGTGGGCAGCGAAGAGCTGCAGTGCAGGTGTCTGTGCGGGGCCTTTACGTGCGATTTCAGCTATTTTACTCTTCTATAGAAACGTCAAAGGAAAAAGTATGAGGTGATCTGGTTAGTCTCAAAGATTAGGGCGTGGGGGCAGGTGAAGGAGATGTGTCCTTGCATTCCAAGGTACAGTATGCCTCAAGGGACACGTAGGCAGGAGATTAAAGTCATTGATCATCTCCAGAGATAAATCCCTTCGCTCCTAGCCAGAGGCGATTGAGTAATTCGGGACTGAGTGGAGTCTTATGGAAATTGTAAAATGAGTCATAAACAAGGTTTCCACCACCTCATGAGGACCTGTACAAAATGATATACCTTTACAGCCAGAAGGGAGAAGAAACAAGGAAGTTATGCTAGGGAAAAAAGTGGGGATGGCAGGGGTCTATCAGGCAGATTACCTAATCAGTGCGGATTAGGCAACTCCTAATTGACTGGTTTAAGATCCCATTTCTGGGAGACCCGAAACCACAATTAAGTCTTGGTTTGGTGACATGGGGATTAGCATAAGCAACTCCATTTTGGGCATGTTGTCGTCTTTTTGACACTAAATAATTTATTTTTTAAAAATTATACACTGAGTTTTTTGTTTAAAAATTATAACTTTATCATCTAATTACAAAATAATACCTATCCATTATAGGAAATGCAAAGAAGCTAAAAAATTTAAAAAACAAAAATCAACTGTATTCTTACCAGATAGAGATAACTATTGTTATCACATATTGGTATATGTCCATCTAGTGTTTTTTCTGTGGTACAATTTTATATACTTTTTTCTCATAATAATGTGTTACAAATATATTATTAAGTGTTCTTCTAAAACGTTATTTTTAATAGTTGCACGTAAAATTCTGTTGTGTAACTGTATTATATTATTGAAATTTACATTAATACCAATCATTCCCAATTATGAATACTGCTGTAATTCACTAAAATCTTTTGAACATAAA